CAGAAAATGATGAGGCGAAGGCCTCACTGAATTTGAGATGCCAATCAGCTAAAACAAAGGCGATATACAAAAAGAAAGGTCTGGAGATAGCTGACTAGTCAACTTCTCCCATAGCAGTCACCTCCGCTATAGTTAGATTTAGTAAGTTTGTTCCTCACTTTGGCCATGTTGGGTCAGCGTAGACTCCTCACTAACTGAGGAAGCTCAAGACGGGAGAGGCGGTGGCTATGACGTTTGTGGCAGTAGCCTCACTCATCCTCTTCAGCATACCCATTGGTATAATTCCTAACATCTAAGGCATGATTTTTTTTCCTCATTTCTGTCTTTTCTCCCGTTATCTGCCTTCAACACAGAGTTTAGGGAGGTGGGAGAAGGGACTAGACCACCACTTGAGCTTGGTTTAGTGTAGTACGTCTATGCTGTTTTGTGTTGCTTGTATTGGTGTTTTATATATTGTCACCTGCTGAATTTCATAAAGAAGCTCTGAAGACTTCTGAAGAGATTCAGCTGTTTACTTTGAGGTTCTTTAGCTAGAATACAAGCAGGGATTGATAACATGCAAAAGAAAAATAGCGGACGTGTGTGCTCCTCAGGGGAAGATCCGTAGGAGAGGCCATCCGGTGACAGCAAGCAGTAGAAACATGCTGATGTGAGGATACAGAACAGGAAAACACGAAGTTGTTCCAAGAACATCTTTCACGATGAGGTTCTTCATCCAAGAGGAATACTGGGAGAAAAAAGGGATTAATTTGAAATGACACTTGACAGATTGCTGAAAGTATTATGTGATGTGCTTGTTGAATGACGTAAGAGATTTTAAACAGCTCTATGAAAATTCTCAGTGACTGCTTGGGGCAGTGCTGCCTGGCCAGCAACACTAACACATGGGTGGAGAGTGGAGTTAAAAGGCCTTTATTTGAGTGTGGTGCAGCCTGACCCGACATGCTGCGTATGACCATGCTCTTTGCAGCCAGAGTTAATGTGGTGGAACTGGAGGGCATTCCGCCAAAGGCCTTGCTCCTGAGGAGGTGGTTTATTTATTCGTTAGACTTCTGAGGAGAAAACCCGGCTGTTAGGACTGTTTAGTGTGGAGTTCAGGCCACCAAGAGGGTCAGGGGCTGGAACACTTGCCCTGTTGAGGGGCCCTGAGGGACTAGGGGTGGCTCAGCCTGGAGAAGAGATGGCTTCAAGGTGGCACCTGATGGCAGCCACCCAGACGGATGAGGAGGGAGGTACCGAGGAGGAGCCAGGCTCTTTGAAGTGGTGTGTGGTAGGAGGAAAGATGCAACCAGGACAGGTTGTGAAAAGAGTCGTTTGGACTGGAGAGAAGGGAAGACGCTCCTGGCGAGGGCGTTTAATCGGCCACGCATGTGCCCAGGGAGATCGTCCTTCCCAGCCCAGGCTGCGTCAAACTCGGAGCAGCCTAGTCTGCCCTCACAGCCGACCCTGCCTCGAGCAGGCGCTAGGGCTGCCGAGCTCCAGAGGTCCTTTGGCCTCAATTATCCTTTAATATCCATGGATATGGATAATCCGTAGAGTTGTTCTGTGGCCTGTGGATTCTCACCAAAAAACTACGGCAAAGAAAATTACTAACTATGAATATATGGGAAGTGTTGAGGATGAGTTGAAAGTTAAGAACCGAAGCCTGTGGACTGAAGTGGTTTGGTTTTGTTTGGAATAAATTTTTAAAAATTGCAGGATGCTTCCAGTTTGGTGCTACCCATCTGAACGGCAGCACAGATTAATCTCGGCTCTCATAATTGTTTGGCATTTTAAGGAGTATAACGGAGACCTACTAACAAGCTCAATTGCCTGTTGTAGTGACAAGTAAAAACATCTCAGATTTCTTTGGTTTTAGGTAGGCTCCCGGTAATAAAATAAGCCGCTGGCATTGTAGTGTGACGTTAACCCTGTCGCTTTTTGAGGGTGCTGTGCTCCGGAGCACTGTGCGAAAACGTACCCAGCCATTTGTTTAGCTCTGTTGTGCAAATGCAAGTATCAGTTCTACAACTCCTGTGTGAAACTGATATACATTTGTTAAAAAAGAAATTATTTGTGAAACCTGAAGTTATTTTATAATAGCTAAAGTTTGGATAGTTTTGAAGATACTGCATATTATTCAGCTCCCTTGATTAATGGTCGGTTTTATATGGGGACTTGTTTTTATGGACATGAATCTGTATTCAGGCTAAAATCAAGATTTCCAGCAAATGCTAGTGAATATTTTGAGTTTAGTTTACTGGCAAAGGAACTAGCGCTAATAAGTTAGCACTACCCCAAGTACTTAAAACCATAGTGTAGGTAACTAATCCAAAAGCTGGCTACGCTTGCTTAATTGAATTCCTGGCTTGTTGTTACAGGTCCCCCATGACCATGATTCAAATTTAGCTCAGCTGCAGGTTTTTTTTTCCCCTGGCATTACCAAAAGCTAACATTTGGATTAGCCTGAGTATCACACTTACTGTTTTTACTGTATGATTTTAAAATGTAGGCACGTCAACTAGTACTTTACAGGACGATTTCTTGACTATAGTGGGGGAACACAATTCCAGAGCTGCTCTGATGGGAAAAAAAGAAAAACTCAAGGATAAAACCAACCTAATGAACCAAAAAAAAAATCAATGTGGTGCACTAGAGTCAGTTTGAAAGACAGATGTGTATCTTGTTGGGAACTGTGTGGTGGGGTGTAAACATTATTACTTGACAGTGATATAAATTTAAAGTAACTTTTTTTATGGTGTTCCTTTATAGGGTTATTATGGTATTGGATGTGCATAAACCCACTCTTGCCTCTTATTTCTAGCAGTTTGTGGTATTAATGATTAAGGCGTTCTGTAGACATCTAAGGTTGTGTGTTAGACTGAGCTGTAGCAACAGGTCTGATTTTGCATAACACAATAGTTGAACTGCAGTATTTCTGTGAGTCTTACTTGGGTAATGATTGTTTAACTAGAAAGATAAAATTATGCCGTGGCTTCTCTGGTTGTCATCGCTGCTGGATGCGCGGCAGCCTCTGGCTGGAGAGAGGTTTTCATTGGAAGTGACAGGTGCCACAAGGTTTGTTTAGGACAACCTCACCCTTGTCCTGGGTGGTTTGATCGTGTTTGCCTTACGTGTGTTGAACCGCTGCGTTTCCTGCGTTAGAGCCCCGTGTGACACCGATATTACTATCTGCGCTGCCTCAACTACAAATTGGATGAACAGCCAGTGACACTTTTTCAATATTATTACATTAAACCAAGTGGATTTTGATTGATAACCTAATATTCAACTAATGCAAAACATCAATCATGGCAAGTATATTAATTATTTAATATTGCAGTCTAATTCAGAAATCAATGTGCTGCATGAGGGGAAGGGAAACTCACTGTTCCCAGAAGACTTAAGACAGGGAATGATTAAAAAAACCCCACAACCCTGCTGTACTCTTGTGTGTTAGTTCGATACAAATCTTTATTCATTTGCCAATAATCTCTTCGCATTTTTCACTTCAGGACCTTTTTTATCAGTTTTGAGACCTATAATTGAATTAAGGCTGCTTTCAGCACAGGGCAAAAGGAGTTGCACAAATATTGATGAAGCCGTGACAGGGACAGGGCAGGAGACAGAGCACTAACAGGGCAGGCTTCACGCCCTGCCTCCGGAGCTCCTCGCAGCAGCTGCTTGGGTCCTGCTTCCAAAGGAATTAAATCCTTTAAGGCCATTTAGCCCCTCCAAAATAGGTGTGGGAGATGATTTCTATTTGAATATTGTATAGAGGCAGATTGTAAATTCTTGTTTCAAAATATAAAATAGTGGTGTAAGGAAAGGGCATCCTTTCCCCTTGCTTTGTTCCTGATATATTCCAATAGAACCAAAGTGCGTAGCAGACTTTTTTTGGAAAGCTTCATGAAATTATAAATAAAAGCTTTCTGTAAAAAGTCTAAAATACAGGACAGCGAGGTGGTAAAATGTGTAGCTGAATAGAGCCTTATTCAGTATTTAGTAAAATTTTGTGCTTTCCTTTACGTTATGCCTTACACAACCTGCATGAAGCTAAAGAGGCCAGAAGCCTCCGTCTCATGCGGTTTGCTGTCTTAGCGGAACGTAGTTGGGGTTTTTCCTCTTGTGATTTGGTACGGTTGAACAATTTGTTGAAAAATTAATATTGTGAATGCAAATACACACTATGTAGTTCAGTAACCGCTTACCTGAAATACTCGTGGGGCGGTTTCCCGTGTTCACCAGCCCGTCTCCCTCCAAAGGCACAGTCACACTTCTGGGAGCAGGTGGAACCTGGAGTCAGTGGAAGCAGAAACCAGCCTCCTCCTTCCGCGGCTTGGGACTTGGGGATTTCTTAATTCGTTTTGCTTCGGTTTTCTTTCAGGTTAGCGTTTTTAATGTACCAGGATGCGTTAAGGATTCATTTTCACTCTGAATTCTTGCTTTTCAGTGTTTTTACTTCGATAGTTTGGTCCATTATTTTGCAGCTGTCCTTACGTGACATCGCCTCTCTGTTTTCTGTCTGTACATTCGTGTATTTTTTTCCGTCTCAGGAGTGAAATGCAAAGTTGCAGCGTGGCTGCCGCGACCTAGTTGGTCAATAACTGATTCATTCAGCCCACCACCTTTGTAAAGGGTCACGGCCTTTTGTTGTTGAAGCAGTGGCAAAGCAGAACCGTGAGCCACTGGACGCGGGTTCGATAAACAGCCTCACGCACTGTCTTGTTTTACTACTCCCAATGTGAGTAGTGGGACAGCTATCTTAAAAACGTTGGCTTGAAATAAGTGTCCTGTTGCATTGCTACAGTTTGTAGCAATTTCAGAGCACATAAAATTTGAGGTTTCAAATAATTCTGTAGTTGTGTCGGTACTTTTTAGCTATTGCAATGATTAAGATATTAAAAATAAAAATGTTACCTACTCGAGAAATTAGATGGCTTTGACATTTCTGAGTTAAACAGAAATTGTTGTAGACAAGGGTTTAGCAACTGTTTGGAACTTTTGTTCTTCTGTTACAGGGACTCTGGAAACATCAAAGCTGGATTAGAACATCTGGTAAGTTTTAATTTTCTCTTGAACATTTGCATCATCTTTGATATCTGCATTCCAAATGAACACTTTTGAATGAGCTTTGAATACCTTGAATTGAGAAAGTCAACCATTTCCCAGAGGGTCAGCTTACTGTTATTATGTGAAGGCACTTACATTTTCATTTATCTTACCATTTCAAGGGAATTTTAATTTTTTTAAATTACTTTTTTTGATGTAGAGATGAAATAAAATGGACTACAATCCTTGGATTGATGATTGCCTTAATTATAAACAAAAATTGTTTGGTGTTGGATTTTTGGCATATCCTGATCTGAAAACAACCAACTTGTGATTAAAAAAAAAAAAAAAAAAGACACACACACACAATCAAATATTGCATGCATAAATATGGTATGTTTTAGTAATTTGAAGTCTTTGAAAGAAGTGCGCAGCTTTGTTTTTTCTCTTGTCTTTGCTTTATGAATAATGTATTGCTTTAAATTCCATTCAGTGCTGCAGTATAAAATAATAATTGAGATGCAAAATATTTTTGGTTTAAGTAAACATATTCAAACTGCAAGTGATGGCAAGACACACTGAGCATTAAAAACTAATCGGTTGATCAAAACTGGGAAAAATACAATATTGTCACAAGTCTGAAGCTCGTTGAGCCTGGGATGTTAGTATCAGCAATCATCAGAACATTAAGTAGTTCTTCTAAACCGATTATTAAATCCCATTAAATCAAAATATTCACTATTAACAGCACGTATATCTCGGTACATCACGGGAAGTGATTAAATTAACGTTTAACTTTTTTCCTACATCTAAATAATATATACTGCTCCATACTGCTATTAAAATAAAATCTTATCACAATGCATTGCATGAGCATTTGAAAAAATTGCTTTTCTGTTGTTGCTTCCCATTGTGGGAATCACTTGGGAAATATGATTTGTAGGAGCTTGTGTACCAATATCTTCTTGGAGTAACAGCGGGGTGAAAAGGATGTATATTCTGGCAGAGTTGTCAACAGTCTCCCCTTTATAACGGTGGCATATTAAATGTTCCGTTGTAACTAGGACTTTGAATCTGTAAATGGAGTAAGTAGCTGAGTGTTATGAATAGTTCTTCGAGCAGTTTGAGAATTAATCTTGTTTGCTGGTTTCATTGGTATCTTGCATGCTAGTTGAATCTCTTAAATAAATTTTTAAAATGTTTCATTCCTCTGCTGGTGTCAGGTAGCTGTAATCTGATGGCTTCAGAGAATTTTTCTAATGCATTATAAAGATGCTGTAGTCTTGACAGATGACCATGACTGGTACTTTTTCTAAATTGGGAGTGCTGCAATAGCTGGAGCTGCAGGTCTGATTTATGGTGGCACCTCAAACCCGCCGGTGCAGGAGGAAGAGGCTCCAGGGCTTTTGAGTAGCTGGGGCTGCGGGGTGGACCAAGGATAGCATTCAGGGTTTCTCTGGCATTTGGGTGAAAATACGCTGGAAAGGTTCTTTACAGAGTAGTGGTGCTTTAAGTTCTCTACAAGGTAACTCACTATATGTTTGCATAAAATGCTGTCTTCATTAAATACGGTAGCTGCTTTGTATTTCTTTGGAAGATCTGTCAAAAACCTCCAGGTTTGACAATTTTTTTTTTCTTTCCTTTTCCCTGTGATCTTAGAAAAACTATCCTGGGAATGGGTGCTCAAGGGAACGAGCTGTTTCCCAAGACACCCACAGATGGGAGTATTTCTTCTGGAAAACGTTTCCTATCTCAGCTGTAGTGATATCCCTCAGAAGAATTAAGCCACGTGATTGTTCTGGTTCTACTACTTTAAATTACTGCATCTTCAAATACTTGTGAGGGAGTTTTTCTCCCCTTAAGAAAAAAGAAGAGTCTTTATATTGATTTGGTAATCTGTTATTTAATCCCTTCTGTAAAAAAGGGTGTTTCACAATTTGTGATATAATCCTTATGAGGTCTTTATAGTCCTCTAATGCACTGCTTACCTATGTTTGAGTAGCTTGGGCCATCCTGGTACCTAGCATCTAGCTTAGCACAGGAGTGAAATAGAGTAGTGTAACAAGTTGTTAAAAGATTTGGTAAATATTTTACAAATTGTTATTTGGAAATGCTTCCAGTTTGAAAACAGATGGGTTGATAAACAAAAATATTTTCTTCGTAGATTGGAGAGCTTCCCAGCAGGTCCATGTGCCTGTTTCTCAGGCTGCTGGGAGGAAACATTGTCCAGCGTGTCCGGCTGACCATCCAAGTGGGCCACAGCCGCGCTCCCTGCTGACCACCCATAGCTGCCTCTGCTCAGAAGCATGTTTTATTTTTAGGTGGTTAAGAAAAGAAACTGCAAAGTTGTAGGTGTAGGGGAATTAGTCTTGTATTCCCAAAATTTTAGTGGTTATTTGCTGAATCATACTTGGCTAATTCCTTTTCTGAGTAACAAATTTTAACAAACTGTAGAAACCTTGGAATAGATGATTATATATCTGCAACTCCGAATAGGTCCTGTTTTCTATAAATAGCTCTACTAAAAAAGAACCATGGAGCCATTCGTGTGGTTTATTCATTAGAGAGACCTTATTCGTGTCTTTCGTATGACATTCCAAAGCAATAACCTGCTTGTCCTTGTGGTCAAGCGGCAGAGTCTGTCTGTTTTAAAAGATAAAGAGCAACCTGTCATTAATAGCGCGTTTAGCCCCTCAGCGGTTTGTAAGGACAGAGATATTGTCTACCAAGAACGCCGGCGCTCCCCACGTTGGGTGTGACTTGATGACCCCCAGCAGGTGCGGACCGAGCTCTGCCGAGGCTGCCCCTTGCAGTGCTCGGCGCAGCTCTGCCCGGGGAGCTGCTGGAGTTCACCGTTTCAACGTTGAGTGGCATCGTGTGTCGTAGGTAGTGTACATAGAACCGTAGAACGAATCACAGAGTGCTTTGGGTTGGAAGGGAACTTAAAGCTCACCC